GTAGGGAAAACGGTGAGCGTGATGTGAAAGTTGGTAAGTTCTGCAGGAAAGGAAGAAGGCTGGTAGGAAACAGAGGAAGGAGCTAAAGGAAGACTTAATCTCAAAGAATGGAACATGTTCGTGTGGGTTAAAAAAAATTAGCAAACCATTCCACTCACCAGAAGGACTCTGCAGAAAACCATCCTTTCCGTAAGAGAGAGATACATTCAGTAATGTTTTAGAGATGCTATGTATGTGTGTGTATATGGGGAAAAACTTAATAGTCATTATATTTTCATGCTAAATTTTTATTTCAATGTTATGCAACTGCATAAGTATAAATATTTGTTCAATATACAACAATTATGACATCCATAGGGAATTTCTTAGAGAAAATAAGACTGCAAACACTTTATTGCACAGATCCTAACAAACTTTGAAGCTGGTAAATCTACAGCTGGGAATACTACCGAGGAGCACATCTTACAATCACAGGAGACTGACCAAATAGAACACAGGAGAATTTCTACCAGCTGACTGGAGAGGTTTACAACAACAAACAGGTATTACATGAATGCAACCTTAGGTACTCCGTAGCCATCCAAAATGCAAGATCATATTTGGCAAAAATGATAATACACTATACAAAATATACATTAAAAAATATCATTTGTAAACAAGCAGCTAGTTGTGCTTTAAAGGAAAGTGGACAGTTAAAAAGCAAAGGCTGTAAACCATAAGCTACCTCCCCGATAGGCCTGTCTAGATGTCTGGGTGCAGAAGGATCGGGTTATGACAACCACCAAATGCACGTATGAATTATAAATGTTGAGACCATTTTTGAAACTCATTCAAGATCTTTCAACATATTTGTTTCCTCTACAATTCACAACACAGTGATGGGGAATGGCTAAAACCTCATGGGAGAAAAAGTCGGAGCAAGGAGACTTTTTTCTTTTTTCTCTTCTTTGGCCATTGCCAACTCATTTTACAATGAAGGACAACCAAGCAGTTTACGTTACGCCTTTGTTTTTGGAGCGGAGTTTACAGCCTCACTGAATGATTTATAATCCACAGGGCTGTAAGATGAAGCTGTGCTTGGGTGAACAATTTTATAGCCTGAAGATACTAAGACATTCCCGAGGGGGGGTTGGGTGCTGGATTAGTATTTCTTCTTGGTAATTTTTTTTTTTTTTTCTCTCTTACGAAACAAAAAATCCTGCTACGGATCCCAAGCATCTTATAAATACTTATCTGTGTGTATTTTCTCTTAGTGCCTTAGTACTTATGTCAGCAAGTGCTGTCTTACAATATAAAACAATCCACCAGGAAGGAAAACTGCAACAAAAAACAAACAAAAAGATCCCCTCAGCACTAAAATGACTGGACAAATTCTACATATTCCATGGTATACAAAATTTAAATAAGGCTTAGCAAAAGTAAAAAGGACAGTCACATTCAAGCACCAAATAGCTCCAACAAGTCTTTTTGTTACAAAAATGCTGCTCTTTATTACTACAGTATTTTTTTTTTTTTTGCATACAAATAAAGAGATCATGTTATGAAATGTATGGAGCTACTTGATGCATCAGAAATGAATGTGAAACCCAGGAACTTGCTAAAAACAGCAAGCTTCATCTACAACATAAGGCCCCAGCTATGTATTAAAATGTATCTGATGTCCTGATTATTCCTTAAAATATATGCTATGATGCCAAAATCCACAACCCCACCCCGTCCCCCGACTTTTCCTCAAAAAAGTAAATTTAAAACCTCTTCCAATGCCTGATGCTTATTACTCAACCTAAGTACTAGCAGATTTGTGTGCGGCCAGCAACTTTCCTTTATGTTCAACAGCAGGGCTGGTGCAGAACTACTATAAAATGTGTGCTTCTTAGACTAGTGACTCATAGCATAAAGGCCTGAGTTTAAGAGCATGAAAAGGAAGAGCGAGAGAACAGAAATAAGTCGACATGTTTTTATAGCCCCCGCTCTACCTATGGTGAGGAGTTGACATACACACCCACAGACAAGGACAACTGGCCTTTCAGACAGCTGGGCCCAGGATCAAAATGGCTATTAGGATGACCATGAAATGAAATGAAAATGGCTAGCTCCATCTGTTGTGGCCATTTCTGATGGAGGAGGATTCCAAATGCAGTGATTCGAGTAGTTCTTTAGATCTGGAAGTATAGGTAGCCAGATACAGTACTATTAAAATCACTCGTTAAAAATACACATGAAGGCTTACAATCTAGTGTATTTGGGGCTTTCTTTCACCTTCAACTCGACTTAGAATGTTTTAACGTAGAAAAATGCAGCCTTGAAATATTCTTTTCAACCACAGACCAGAACACGTGGGTGGATGTGTATATACACGAATATGGGTGTATCTATACTTTTACATATACCCAGGTTTAACCCTTTTGCTTCATTACTGCATTATGATCAACGGTAGAGCAAAAATCTTATTAAAAAAAAATGTAGTAAATGACGCCATCAGCAGCAAAGTATCGACTCTATATCCCCCAAACCAAACACGTTGCTAGGTATTTACAGAGAAAATCGTTTTCAACAATCCGCAACCTCAACCTCAACCAAAAAGATTTTTTGTTTTTTTATTTTTATTTTTTTTTGTACAAACACTATCTGGTAACAGTTTACCGGTTCCGACTGGGAAGGCATTTGGACGAAGGTCCCTTCTTTTCCTGTTTCTTCTCTCCCTCTTCTTCGGTGAGGCTCCAGGCTCTGCCTGGGGGGGGTTCCCACAGTGCTGGTTTCCAAGGTAGTCAAGGTGCAGTTACACACGCAGGCTGGGTCCCCCAGTCCCGCAGGGGGCCTGCCCCATCACAAGGCCTTTTTGTGTGGGCTGCCACGCAAACTCTCTTTCCCCCGCCTCTGTCGCACCCCGGAGTCCTTCTCAGAAGGAAGGGCGATGGGGCGCTCCGCGCTTGGAGCGGGGAACGGCTTGGTCACCTCTCTGCCCACATTCTGCTTCCTAGTCTGAGCTGGCTGGGCGGGGGCCGGCTCTTTCCCTTTGGTTTCTCGGCTGGCGCCCTCCCCCACGCCTGGGTTGGGGTGATAGGATTCCAGAGTGATGGCTGAGCTGCGGAAGGATGGCAAGGAGTCGCTCTTTGTCATTTGGGTTCTGCCATCCCCCCCAGGCAGGGGCTTTCGATGGTCCCTGCTGCTGGAGGCTGGGGGCTCAGCCGTGGCCCTGCCGGCCTTGGCAGAGAAGGTGTCGCTGCAGGTTGTAGAAGTCTCTGGAACTACTGATCTGGCCTCGGGAAAGCCAGAGGAGTAGCTCAGAGACTTCTCGGGGAGGGCAGTGCAGCGGAAAGAGCTCTGTGCCGTGGCCGAGGGCGACCGTTTCATGCCACTGGGCTTGCCCGCCTCCGTCAGTGGCTTCTGGGAACCGGGCCCTTTCCCCTTGGCCTCCGGCCAGCCCTTCCCGGCGGCGGCTGCTGCCGGCCTCTCCGTGCCCTTGGGCCCAGCCTCACCTTGCACCGGGGAAAGGCTGGCCCCCGGCTTCCCGCTGTCCACAGGGGAGTAAAGTGCTTCGGTGCATTTCTTGCCTTCAGACTTCCAGGAGTCAGCGCTGGCAGCCGGCGGACTCAGGCTCCTGTCTGTCTGTTTGCACAGAGGGGTATAATCTTTCACAGTGGATGGTTTGGGGGCCTTTGGAGATGGGTTTTGCCTTTCCCCAACAGTGGGAAGTTTCTGGTCCACCGACTCACTGGCCCCTGGGGGTCCTTGCCGTGGTGGATGTGCGGGCTTCTCCAGTGCCTCTGGGGGATGCCCACTGCTGGTGGGTCTCAGCTTGGTGTCTAGAGGACCCCATTCCATGTGTAGGGGGACTGAGGGCCCACTTGCTCCCTGGCCAATCACATCGCGGGCTGTGCTCTGGGGCCCTGGGAGGGCAGGGAACTCCTCCGACACACCCTTACTGCTGCCCTTCCCCTCTTTGCCGGGGGGCCGGGCACCAGGCTCTTTGCCCACTGCAGCCTCAATGCTCAGCTTCTGGGAGAAGAGGGGCCGGTCTGGGTGCTTAGACCTTGGAGGGGCTGTGTCGGGGCCAGACCTGGGCTTGTGGCTGCTGCTTTCACAGAGCACAGCAGTGGGCTTGGGAGGGTCCTGGAGGCCCAGGCTTGAGTCTGTAGCACAGGGCTTGCTCCCGGGCAGAGAGCCAGCAGGGTAGCTTTGTTGAATGTAATGCTGCTGAGCGGCCAGGCCAGGGAGCTCTTTGGTGGTAGGTAGGGGCTGAGAGCTACTGGTGAGATGATGCTTCTGCAGGGGCTGTTCTTTCCTTTCTGGTTCCTTGGGACCATCTTTCTGCACAGATCGGAAACCGGAGAGCTTTTCACTCTTCTCACTCTCTGTCCCGGGTGGCTCCAGAGACCACCTGGCAGGAGCGGATGCCAGCTTAGATTCCGGGCCACTCCTTCCCTTGCCCAGCTCCCTCTCACAAGGAGCCGCTGTAGAGTGCAAAGAGGGGTCTTCTCTGGCCAGTGGCCTCACCTCATCTCGGCCGTCTTTGGGGTTTGTTTTCCCACAAGGCCCGCATGCTTTCTCCAAGGCCTGGGTCTGGGTGGAGACATCTGGGCGGGTCCTCCCCACAGCGGGGAGGGTTTTGGAGTTGTCACTGGTTTTAGCAGCTTCTAGTGGATACAGCTCCTTGGAGGGGTCTCTGCGGATGTCGGCCCTCAAAGCCAACCGCTCACTTCTGGCTGTGGAAGGGCCCCTTTCGGACGACTCCCTCCCGCTAGGCTTCTCCCTCAAGGGGGCACCTTCAGGTGGGGGCGGGCTGCGCAATCCAGACGGGTCAGCACCTTGGAGGTTCTGCCCCAGGAGGGGAAGGAGCGTAACATCGGGGCTGTGGTCTTGGTGTTGGCCGGGGCTGCCCCCTCCCCGCTGGGGATGGCTTTCCACGATGGTCGCCGGGGTCCTGGCTGCGTGGGAAACCTTCCTGTCCAGCTTTAGCTCTGGGTCAGGCAGGGGTGCTGCCGGTGAGCCCTGCAGACCCCGGCTGGGTGGTGGGAACCGAGGCTCGAGCAGGTAGGATTTGTTCACCTTGAAGCTGGCAGGGGAGGACTCCCTCTGACCCGCAGTTTCACCCTTCCTCCCCACGCTGCTGGCGGGAGCCTGTGGCACAGGGGGCCCTACGTCACTGCCTGGGCTGGGGCTCCGGGCAGCCTCCGGTGAAGGCAGCTCCGTCTTGGAGGCCTGCGGTCCAGACAGAAGAGCAATGTCCAAAGTGCCCTCAATGGGCTTCAGGCATGACACAGACCGCCCTTCCAGCTTATACTCGGAGGGGCTTTTCCGGACAGGCGACTCTGGAGCAGCCAAGCCTGGCTTCTCCGCTCCGCTGTCCACCCGGCCAGAAAGGGCCTTGAGAGGGACAAAGGAGACGGTGCTGAGCTGAGCCACGTGGCCGCTGATGAATGGCGCGCAGCTCTCGGAGGCCGGCTGCGCCTCCTGCTGCCCCCCGGCCGGTCGGCCCGCGTTCCCCGGCAGGCCCTCCTGGGCACCAGGTGTCATCTTGGGCTTGAGCACAGGGCAGGGGCCATCATCTTTGTCTTCAAGGGACATCTTCTTTCGGAGGTAATCGATGTTGGCCAGCTTGCTGTCTAACTTCTCACACCGGGGACCCTCCTTGGCCTGCGGGGCCTTCTCCGTGTGCTCACCCTTCCCGGAGGTGGGCCTGTGGGTGGCGTGACAGAGACCGTCTTGGAGGGTGCTGTGAGCCGAGGCTCGTTTGAGGTCACTGGTGCCCTGGCTGTGGTCCCTGGGAGCTGCCGCCCCCTCCGAGGTGACAGCCTCGCTGGCCCGCACACTGGCCTGATTGTGGAGAGCATCTTTCAGCAGGCTGCCCGGGGCCTGGGCCTCCTGCGCGGCTGCTTTGTTTTCAAAATGATTTGACCTTTCCGAAGCCTTTGGATAGATTTTCTTCTCTCTGTCTTCTAGCCTAAAAGCAGAGAGGTTTTCCACATCATTGCCAAGTCCATGGGGTTTCTGGCGGGATTCCTGTTTCTCTGGGAGCCCGTCGGGTTTCTTCACCACCACCTTGGCCTTCAGCTTCTCTCGGTCCAGCTCGTCCACAGACTCCTGTCGGCCCAGCTTCCGGGACACAGGGCGTTTCAGGCAGCCTTGCTCCACGGGCCTGGCCCGGCTGAGGGCAGGCGTGTCGCACACATTCTCCTCCAGGCTCTGCAAGGTCACCTCCCGCTGGGACTGCTCCCGCGGCGGCACCTCCTCCTGGGTGACCTCCAGGCTGTGCTTGCGGGAGCACAGGTGCTTCTTGTCACTGCCGTAGGAGGGAGAGAGCTTCTCCTCCGACTGCACGCGCTTGAGCAGCGGGGACCGCGGGGGCTCTGCGCTCTTGGGCCTCACGATGTGTCTGACGATGGTCGGGGGGGAGTGCATTTTGCTGGGAAAGGCTTGAGAGATCTTGGAGTTGCCAAGTGAATGTCCCAACAGGGGGGACGGTGACCGCTGAGGTGAGGTGGGCTGTGGAGTTGGAGAGGGTGTCCGGGCCAGCGGGGAGAGTGGGATGCTGCCCGCTGACTTACGTCTTCCTGACCGGTATCGCTGCCCGCTGAGTTTGGGGGCCAGGCCGTGGAGAGTGCTGGGTCGGATGTGTCCTGACCCCGCTGGGGAGTTGGGGGCACTAGAGCTTGGGGAGCTGCTCTGGGAGGAGTTAGTACCTGTGGGTGGAAAACAGGATGCTGTGAGCAACGGCCACTTTCCCTTTTCTTTGCATGCTTCCAGACCTAGCTGCTTTAGGTAAGGTCAGGTAAAGGTCAGCAAATTGTCTCAGCATCTAAGTCTAGTGAATAAATGCTTTTCAGATAAACCTCCCCACACCAAGGGTTAAGCCAGTACTTCCTGCCTTTTTTAATGGACCGAACAGCTGTATCTTCTGACCTTCCTATAAATCCTGTTCTCTGTCAATTACATCCTCAACCTTCTTTCCTTAAGCAGGAATAAGCCTCTCTTCCAGGATCTCAGATGGTGACCCCTCAACTCTTGAGAGGCAAGGAGACTCACTCACCGGATGGGAAGTCGGGGGTGGAGCGGTAGCTGGGAGTAGGGGATCGGGGAGACAAGCTGTGAGTGGGGGACCCCGGGAGGCTCTCCCCTGATGACAGGGATCTGTTCAAGCAGGAGAAACTTCGGCTGGTGTGGAGTAGAGGAGAAGGCTGCTTGGCTAGTTTTTTGAAAAGGGATCTTCTCCTAGAGTGAAAACAGGAGAAAACTGATCAGATTCTACATTCAAAACCACTCCTCCTACCCATAGCACCAGAGCATTCAGTACACGCCTCTGTGCCAGAGGTGGTGATAGGATGATGGCAGATCCTTTTAAAGAGAAGGATCCCACTTTGATATTCAAAACTTTTTTATGACTTAGAAAGGAAGAGGTTTTGATAATACACAATGGAAGCTCTCTTCTCTTAATTTCAAGCACTTTAAGAAGAGCTGTGAAAATAGGAAAAATATATAATAAATATACATTCATTTATTTATATGTCAGGTTTTTGAGGACATGGTTTTTTGCCTGAAAGCTTCAGAGTACATAGCCCCAAACACACTGACGCAATTTAATTAATTAAGAGATAATACGAAGTAAATCCCTGGAAGAAAAACCATCATCTTGGATATAGAATTCTTTGATGGTGATACACTGGGTAGAGGCTTTATCTCTGAGGGGCTGTTTGCTGTGCTTATTCCATTGTGAGCTCTTGAATATTCCCAATGACTGTGCACGCTGTACATTTACACAGAAAAACCCAGCAAGGTGGAATGAAGCTTATCACATCAGCAGGGCAGGAGACACCATGCTGCAGCACAAGCAAATGTGTAGTTAGTGTCCAACGAGCACATATGAAAGCTAAAAGCACAGCTTCAGGTGGCTTCGAAGTGCACGTGGCTGTACAGGGTGTCCTTCATCCCCAGGTAGTTTACACTCTGCTACCCCTTGAAGCAAGTGTGTTCTATATGACCTAAACCACCATTAAAATAGAAAGCTCACATTAAAAAAAAAAGGAGGATCTCAAAATGTGTGTGTGTGTGTGTGTGTGTGTGTGTGTGTCTGTGTAATTTTAATCACAGCAATACACGTACTTGGGTTAAAAAGTCAAATAGTTTGTAATGAAAAATAGCAAATCCCTGCTCTGCCTTTTTCCCAGTCCCCAGAGAAACCACTTTCTAGTCTTCTAGCTGTTTCTTCTCCTATTTGTCTGCATATTGCTATGAAATGTGCTTATGCTGTTTTAGTTTTCCGATTTTAGAAATTATCTGTTGATTTCCAACCACAAACAACGAGAATTAAGCTCTTATACAACTGCTTCCACCTTCTAACCGAAAACACTTCCCTGTTTCTATTCCTCCTAGTAGAGCTAAACCAAAATTTCTGGTTAGAAAACAAAGGCTGGTGTTTTCTTTATTTTACATGATAAATACTGTTCACAGCTTGGCCATAATTCTATTTTCCTTCCGTGTATTAACTCTATCTTTCCTGGAGTCAATAATCATTCCTTTCTCATTTGCTTAGTTTTCTTTTCTATCATCAAAAATCCTCATAATGTGATCCAACAACACCAAATCCAAGTGGGCAAAGTAGGGCTGCTGTGGCATGTGGTGCAGGGAGCACATCTAGACAACGGCCTGCCAAGAAATATCCTCACCAGAAACACACACACCTTGCCAGTGCCTGCACGGGGCACAAAACGGTACTCACGGTGCCTCTCACAGTGCAAACGTGTAGCCAAGTTAGGCTTTCAGTCAGTAAAACAAAGCCTTTTTATTTCTAGGCTTATTTGGATGCTTTAAAGATCCAGTTTTCTTCAAATATCTGGCATTAAAAAATAGCAACTGGGGCTTCCCTGGTGGCGCAGTGGTTGAGAGTCCGCCTGCCGATGCAGGGGACACGGGTTCGTGCCCCGGTCCGGGAAGATCCCACGTGCCGCGGAGCGGCTGGGACCGTGAGCCACGGCCGCTGAGCCTGCGCGTCCGGAGCCTGTGCTCCGCAGCGGGAGAGGCCACAGCAGTGAGAGGCCCGCGTACCGCAAAAAAAAAAAAAGCAACTGTTTGTTATTAGATAATGTAAAGGACGTTATTAAATACAGATATAATGCTAAAAACTGCCCGAAGTTTCAGTTCCTCAAATCCAACTCAGATGAAATGAAGACTAGAGGCTTAAGAAAAGGCAAAGGGCTTTTCATGGTTCTCACACATGAGAAGAAGCAATATAAATTTTTCTACAGTGTAACTACATATGTCTTTTCACTATGAAAAAGAACGCTGTTACGAAGGAATATAAACGCTAATGTGTAAATCCATGTGAACCACGGGGCAACATTTCTCACAGAGAAATGGATCCTTCTCATGTGCAAGCATTTACATTAAGCAAGGAGTAAATGTCCCTCAGTGTGGGAATGCACCAAATCCATGAAGAGGACGCGGCTCTAGCTCACCTTTCCAGACTTTCCTTCTTCTTGGATTTCTTGCTCCGCCTTACCATCCGGCTCTTATAGCTGTTTCTCCTGGCTGGCCCTGTCTTGATTGATGTGTTCTCAAATGGGGTGGTCATGATCGACACCTTATTTCCACTCTATAAAAAAATGACGTGGCATTAAAGCGAAATGCTGTGATGAAACAAGACCACAACAGAGATAGGAGAGCCAAAGTCAAAGAAAAGATCCATAAGGACGGACATACAAAAGGCTTCCATGTGTCAATGACCCTTCAAGCAGTGAAGTCCTGACAAACTCGGTGGAAAAAAAAATGTGAGGTTTCCTTAAGAGGGTGGGATCTGGAACTCCACAGAGCTGAGTTCAAATCTGAGCCTGTGACCTGAGCACTTGCTCTCCATCTAACAGGAGAGTCACACCTATCTCACAGGGCTCATCTGAAGATCAAGGAGATAGAATCTGTAAAGCCTTTAGCACTGAGGGTGACACATGGAAAGGACTCTATAAATCACAGTTATCCTCATCCATATGTATTAAGTATAAAGATGCCCAGGGGCTCTCTAGAAATCATAAAAAAAAAAAACCATCATAAAGCAGCAAAACTGAATGAGACTTCTAGTTTAAATTATTTTTAAAGGTTCCTTTTCTACCACCAGAAAACCTGTCAGCAGGCAGAGCTGGCAAGTTCATGCCAGCAGGTATGAAACAGCCTCTGTTTTGCCAGGTCAGGCATGGTGAGGTCATTCCTGGTGGGTTTCTGTGCCCTTCCACTTGAACCTGGGGCAGGGGCTGGCTGGGCAGGCCCTGGGGATGGATTTGAGAGCAGAGTCAGAGGACAGGCTGAGGTGTGCCCTGGGCAAGTGGGCAGGACCCACCCCCTTCACTTCCGTATCATTGACCTCTTCTTGAATTTCTTAATAACCAGGAGAGAAACGTGTCCTTTCGGAGTCACAGATGGCCCCGATTACCTTAAGAACACAAGAAGCATACGGAGAAGGGCCTTTTAAAAGGCCTATGCCTGGAAGATGCCTAGCAACTCAGCTCTAAGTGGTATTAAGAGATGGGGAGTTAAGTATGATGGGGGCTGGGGACTGGAAAAAGAGAGATTGTTTTAATATCAACATCCACCTTCCCTCCCAACTGGGGAAGTAACACGTGCCATTATAAGAAGAAAAGAGTAAAGCATATATATACATAAAAAAATCACTGAGGAGCTTACCACCCAGCTAACGTTGGTAACATTTCTGTATATTTCCTGCTGGTCTCTTATCAGGCATGCAGAAAGTATGTGTGTATATATATATATATATATATATATATATATAGACACACTTTATAAATAATTTAAATCACAATTAAATTAATCTCATATTTAGTTTTATGTTTTTTGGTCACTTCACATTTCCTAACTTTGAAAAACTTGCCCTTCGTCATTGAATATTCCCTAAGAACATGATTTTTACTGGCTATTTAAAAATATTCCATGAGATGGGTGAATCACAATTTAACTATTTCCCTAAAACTATTCTATCTCGCAATTCTTGTAAGGGTTGAAATAAATATAAATACCTTTAAATCACTGTCTGAGCCTCTGACATTTCCCTTAGATTACCTAATTAGACCCAATACACGCAGCAAAGGGTCTAGGTGGACTTTTTGGCGACGCTTCGTGCCTGGTGATACACTAATTTCCAGAAGGGTTATGGCACCTCATGCTCTTGCCAGCAGCGCACGAGCAGCAGCCACAGAACGGGCTTGTCAGAACTGAATATTAACATTAAACAGATTACTGATTTTACAGGAAAAAGTTATATCAAGTTTTAATCTTTGTTCTTGGGCTATTAACAAAGCTGGACTTTGACTCATTTATTTTCGATGATTTCTATGTCTTCAGAGAACGATCTGTTCATGTCTTACATCCAATTTTGTATCAGAAAGTCTTAGTATTAATTGATTTTAGAGTTCTTTATATATTTAAGAACATATAATCCCATACTTAATGTCATAGTTGTAAAACAATATTTTAGGGAAATGAGATTTGAACTTGAACAAGAGAAACAATTTTTCTTCATCCTGAAAGAATAAAGTACATGTTTTATATGCAAATGCCAAAACTTTAAAAATAAACCTTAACCTGATAGTAGAGACTGACATTCAATTTATTCTTTAAACTGAAAATTCAGCTTTGAAGTATGAAAGGCCTACCATTGAAGGTTGTTTGGTATGGGATTTTCTCTTTACAAATTGAGTGAGGCCAGGCTAACTGAGCGAGGCCAGGCTAAAGTTTTAGTATTTCCTGCATGTCTTAGGGGAAGGAAAGGGGCAACAAACAGGATGGGAGTTCATCTTTCATTGAAGTTCCTTCCGTCCTTTTCTACATCATATACAGAGTGGACACAGAGCCACAATGATCACTGGGGCTGCTAGAGCCCGTGAGCCATCTAAGCTTGAATCCACTTCCACCCCTTCTAACACAATTCAGCACTGACTTTTATATCTTTACCTATAAGAGGCTCACAATGCCACTGAGCATTTTAAAAGCACATTGTGAATATTAAAGCATTTTTCACATATATTCTCTTACTTTATTTTCACAACCAAGTCATGAGGGTTTTTTTTTTTTTTTTTTTTTAAACCCTGTGAGGTAGGAGGGGATTTTTATTCTTCGACTAGAGGTAAGGAAAACAGATTCAGAGACACTGAGATTCTTTTTTCCCAAGGTCACGGAGCCCAGTGGGAGAGCCCAAAGCTGGCTCTCCCGCCCCTCACCCCACACTGGCCACTCCTCATGGGCAGGGCATGCCCTGATCCCTTCCATCTCTTCCTCCCAGCAGAGTGCACAGCTTGTACTTAAATGAGTGGTGGTGAGGGAACGAGGCATTGGATCCATATAAGGAATGATCAATGTATCAGACTGTCAAGAAGAAATTTTAAAAATATAAAAATATCATCAACATTATATGAAAAAAAAAATATATAAATGCTGAACATTCCTCACCAGAAAAGTTATGACCCGGGTTTGCTGAATCAGAGCACGTCATTAAGTTCTGTCCACAAGTCCCTTTCCACTATAAAACCAAACCCAGTTTTCTTTTTTTGTTTCTACATATGGCTGTTCCAGATGACAGTTCACTTGACTTATGGAAATACACAAAGAGATAACTTCCCTAAGGGGAAATACAGACACAAAAAATGCAGAGTGCAAACATTTGGTTGGAAACGTTAATGATTACAAAAATGGTAAGTAGATGACTGAAAAATATTATAATTTTACGGACAATAAGTGAGAATTGCGAAGACTGCCATCTGGTGGATCCATCGGCTATAGCAAGTGCTGCCAGAACTCGGCACGCTGTGATTTACTGTTGAGGTCCACTGACCTCAACAAATTCTTTTGAAGAAGCAGTCTCTTATTAGGGAAATTCTGCAGCACTGTTTTAAAAAATAACAGCAACGAAATGGGGCCGGAAGACTGTTAGATGTTCTCTTAGTTAAGTTTTACTTTAAACTACTTGTGTGATTAAGTGCACGGTGGGAGGGAAATTATTTTAAGCTGGCTGAACTGAATACAGAAGCAGAAGTCAGGCTATTCAGTCTCTTCTCTCAGTCTGACTCCACATTAGCTTATCAGTTGGCCTTGGGTACTTCACTGAGCTAGACTGTTTTTACATTTCTTTCTCTGCAAGACGCACATGGCGAACAGCACTCTTCCTGCATGCGTGTGTCCTTGCCCTGACTCAACCCTCCATGATCCAGCCCCAGCCATCCTGCACACTTCATCCCAGATGCTATGAACTCAGGCTCCAGCCACACTGGTTTACTCATGCACCTCAAGCACTCTGAGCTTCCTGTCCTTGTGTTTTTAAGCATCTTCTTTATTTTGCCTAGACCGTCCTGCACCCCCTTCCCACACACTAAACGTCCACCCATCCTTCACAGCCCTGCACAGAAAACCCCTAACTCTTCACCCCTGCCCACCCTGGTGGAAAGCCCTCTCTCCTTTAGAACCTGGGCCATATTTACAGTTTGTTCCTTTTGTCTGACACTCTGATTTTAGCCTAGTATTGCCACTGTTTCCCCTGTGAACGTTGGACTGTATTAGCTTAAGTTACTGGCAATCAGAAGACTTCATGTACAGAGCACAGTGGCGTGTTGGTTGAAAGCACAGGCTCTGGAGCTGCATTGCCGAGATGCAAATCCTCTTCTGCTCTTTCCTAGCAGATAACCTTGGCTGCTTTGTTAACTTCTCCCTGCTTTAATTTCTTTATCTGTAAAATGGGGGCATTTATATTTATGGCACCTATGCACAAGGTATGAGGATTACCTGAGTTTATTCATGTAAAGGCTCTCGATTACCTATTATTCGTATGTGTCATTTGTTGTGTGACTCTTGGGTACCTCGCACACTTCTGCACATTTTGGGGGCCCAGCTAATATGTGAAGATGGTAATAGCGATGCTATTTGATGGTCCCCATTTTAGTTTCCAGAGGTTCTCCAGAGTTCAGGGAAAGGAAATTTTGAGGCAGGGGCTGGTGATATTTTAGGGCTTCTCTTAGGATTGGGGATTTAAACTAATGCTGTCCTAAGAAAGCAACCTGGTTGAATAGAGAGTTTTCTGGATTAGGGAGGCTACACTGGGCAGGTAATTATGTGAGCAGGGGATATGACTGGGTCCATGTGGCCTCCACCCCTCACTGCAGTGGCTGGAGAGAGATTTCAGTGCTTTGACAAAGTTCTTTTTTAACAAGCTACTTGCAAGCTGGATGGAGGTGATTAACTCCTTGTGGCAGGAGAGGTTTAAGGTGACGCTGAAGGAGCACATTTACAGGGATTCACAGAGCTGTGGGGAACTGAACCGGATGACCGTGACTTTAATTTCCTTGTGCGTGTAAGTTAGCGCTTCCATAGCAGGCTCATTTTGAAGTTGTGAGGGTGAGTGTGACCAAAGCTGCAGCCATGAAACACGCAATACGCTTATTAGGTTCACAATCCGAAAGATAAATAAGTATTGCACGTGTATCTGGAAATATACATACAGCCCTATGTAACGGCTCTTCCACCTTTTTCTGAGGATGCCATGAGATTTTGTAAAGTAGTCTGCAAGTATAAAACATCGTGTAAAAAGCATCTGAGAATATACCAAAATACAGCTACTACCCTGATGGTCCGCCAGTGACGAAGCCATCAGGGAGCCCAATAGTACGGGATGCATTTGTGAGAAAGTTGACTAGCGTTAGGGGAACCACCTGTAGGTATGGAGGATAGCAAAGCCCGGCCTCAACTCCAGTGGGCACTGAGGCCAAGACCAAAGTTCCATTAATGCTGTGAACTGATCAACAGCAATAACTTTCCTACAATCTGCCACTTCACAATGGACCTTTGAATATGCATGCTATTACTCTTCCTGGAACCTAGGCCAGACACTGAATCATTTGAAGAATACACTTGTGTTGGCTGGGGGATGAGAGAAGGAAGAAGAAAAGTCATTTAACTGTACTTACTTTTCAAAGGCTTTGTGTGACACCCACCTACCTGCACTACCTTCCAAATCCTAATTTTTTTTTCAAGTTCCAGTTCAGTGTCACTTCTCTGTGATGACTCTCCTCATTCACAGAATCTTCTCTCCAAAAGTACGGGATTCCTCCCCCTGCTACGGTCCTGGCTAACCAAGCTGAACTTTATCTGCTTGCATACCTCTTCTATATCTCCCATAGTCCTCGAGGGCAAGGACCATACCTGAATTCCTATGTTGCCAACATCTACCGTGGTACCTGCCTCAGAGCGAGTGCTCTGGAAACAGTCTGAATGTACCTTGTTTAAATGACACATATGTGTTTATGTTGTGCCTCTCAATAGGCTGCAGGTTCTCTGAGGTCACGGCTCACGACTCTCTGATAGCCCCTTATAGCCCAGCCCTCCCAGTGCTTACAAAAGCCAGAGGTCATCCGTAAACATCTGTTGACTTGTAAAATAATCCTACAGTTAAAGGCTGTATTTTTGATCACAGATAGTCTTCTTTCCTTGAAAAAACTTAAAATCAAACTCAAATTTATCTTTGTTTTAACCAGATCCATATTTGGAGCCATAACTTTATATTCTGTAGTCAGCAGGTGGCAGAGCAAATAACCCAAAAGAAAAGAGAGGATCAGTATAGACTGTCTCTCTCTATCATACTCAGGCTTCTTGTGATCTTCGTACTCCACTGGCTTGAATCAGCTTACATTCCAAGTAGAAACTGATCTACATTCAAATTCATTTGTACGTATGAATGGGAAAAGGCCTAATGATCGCTAGAATCCCTTCTTCCATTACGACCTCTTTCTATCATTTATAGTGTATGTTATATATTCACAGGTCTACCTTTCAAAAGGAAACCCAACTCTCAGACTCAACCTTCAGATGTGACCTCACAGTTTAATACTACTTTGTCTTCTGCTGTATAGAATAAAATTTACTGAAGAAAATCGCCTTTAGGCTGGACGATTTCCAAACAGATTTTACTATGTGCGGTACATAAACAAAGAGAACTCTATTTGTAATTTAGGATAAGAAGCAAAATTAAATTAGGAAGTGACTGTGCAGATATACGAACGTGTATTTCATGATATAAAACCAAAAAAATTCGTGTTATTTTTGCCTTTACATTAAACAGACTACCGAATATTCTCTCAGCAATGAGACTGAGTGTGTATGGATGTGCCATATAGAAGAACTCTAGACCTTGAGTAAAGAACTATTGGTACTAGTTGTTTCTGGCTACCTCCTTCATCTGGATGGCCATGACATCAAAAAGATAGTACCTTTAGCAGGAGCTCTATAACTTCTGTGTGGACGAGTCCATGCACTGGCTCTCCATTGACGTGTGTGATCAGATCCCCAGCCTTCAGTCCTGCCTGGCAAGCTGGACTTCCTTCTTCTACGTTCTAAAGTCCAAGAGGAGAGTATATATTAGTAAGCAAACAAATGACAACCCTGACACCTACTGTTTCTTGTGGCTCAGTGTTCTGAGTTAATCAGCAAATGATCCTGAGCTCCTAAGAGGAAACCAGTAAGACATGGTTTGCTGTTCTTTTTCTGTCATCCTAAAGTAGGGTAATTCCTATGTTTCCTTAAACAATTTCAGGTGATCTGAGAAAGTACTTTAAAAAAAAAAAAAAAAAAAAAAAAAGAAAGGCCAGGGCAAAAAATGAAGAAAAGAAGAATGAAAGAAGGGATAAAAACAGGACTATCTTTGACTATTTCTACCAGCTTGGTATGCAGAGTGGTTAATCAGATATGAAGACTAACAGAATTATGAGAAAGAATTAACTTTTGCTAAATTCAATCCCACCACACAGATAAAGGGCAGGAGTATGAAACAGGTCCCAAATGCCAGCTTAAGAGAAAAATCATTTGCTGTTAACTATGCCTCAGCTGACATATTCATGCTCCAGTTTGGCTGGGAACAAAAACTAACCAGAAAGAGAGACTGTCGGTCTTACCCAAACGATATGATGCACTGTGTAAATGTCGCTGTCTCCCACATACACCCGGATGGCTCGGATGGTGAAACCATAGTTCTTCCCTGAACTGTGGATCACAACGGGCTGGTGCGGACTGGCAGAAGCTCCTGAGGAATCTCGGCTGGGAGAGGAATCCCTTGAGGAAGAAGGGTCCGAGGACAGAGAATGGGGAGACATTGGACTTCCCAGTGGAGAAACAGCAAACATATCTGCAACAAAAAAGCCAGTCATCACAGCTCATCCCGGTCGCACAAACTGCTCTCAGGTAGCCCTCACTAGGTAGCCCTGCTGGGATTGGGAGCACAGTCACAAAACAAATCCATTCCTTTCTAATAAAGAAGAAATAATATAAAAATATTTATACTGGTAACTAGCATGGTAACTGGTAACTTGACAGAAGTCTGTCAAGGAAATTTCAGAAGTGTCTCTTTTTAAACTAACTTTTAAACTCACATTCTGAAGTTACAACTTCTTCGTTCTCTACACAAATTAAAAAACACACAAAACTTCACTGCTATCTGACTGTGATCTTTTAATACACTTTCTCTTAATTAAAGAAACAGGAACTTCCCTGGTGGCGCAATGGTTAAGAATCCGCCTGCCAATGCAGGGGACAAGGGTTTGATCCCTGGTTCGGGAAGATCCCACATGCCGCAGAGCAACTAAGCCCGTGCGCCACAACTACTGAGCCCGCATGCTGCAACTACTGAAGCCCACACGCCTAGAAGCCCGTGCTCTGCAACGAGAAAAGCCACTGCAATGAGAAGCCCATGCACCACAATTAAGAGTAGCCCCTACTTGCTGCAACTAGAGAAAGCTCGCATGCAGCAGCGAAGACCCAATGCAGCCCCCCCAAATAAATAAATAAATAAATAAGTAAATAAACAAATCATAGGTGCACAAATTTCAGGTATACCCTCACACAGGGAAGGCTGTACGGACTATAGTAAAAGACACTCAGGCTCCAAATCTTGCCCTAAATAACTTTAACATGGTTCTTTTCGAAAAAACCTGGCCTGGAAAGCAATTCATCAATTTACCTCTGCTTTTTTATAATATTACTGAACTAGTACTGATCAAACGAGTTTGATCAAGAAAACACTGTAATGTTAACTTCTCTATGAAAGGATCATTCCTTATTACTATGATTAGAACTGATTCTCTTCATATATTACCTGTAATTCTAGCAAGGTTTCTGAGAGGATGATGCAGGTGGATAGAGAAATTTTAAGAAAAATTCACTTCATACTCTTCAACACCACCTTGTTTAATGAACAAACACACTTTTAACTTATAGTTCTTATCACTGTTTCATCTATGTGAATCTAAACAGATCCTAACTGGTCATGTGAAATTGCGTGCGTGTGTGTGTGCGTGTGTGTGTGTGTGTGAAAAAGAATAACCTACAAAAAGATGCTGAGGTTTAAATGTGAGCTCAGTCAGGGCCAGGCTACAAAGGGCCAGTGCAACTGAAGGCTCCCGGGGTTCGGTGAGTAACATCGTGGCCACAGCAAACTGAAAGTATCCAGACTATCTCTTCCTCTAATTCTTATGTCTGTCCAAAGGAAAACAATTAGCTAAATGTATCACTTTCTCCTTCACTTTCTGACTTCCTGCGGCATCCTGACCCTTTTTACCTGGCTACCTCTGTCTCATCCATAGGCCAGGTGAACAGATGCACACTGGTGGGCAGGGAACCTCAACACATATGCAAAGGCAGGAAGAAGATAGAGTGGATACACAGATCCAAACTCCTAAAAGAGCCAGGCCCCCGACCCTTTACCTCAGTACATTGTACCTTATCTCCTCAGATTGAAGAATTGACCTACATTCACCAAGATGTGGGGCTTTCTCATCAGCTCTCAAAGTGGACTGGACCACATCCCACTCAACCTTCCTGACTGCAGCTGCACTGGGGCCATTGCCTTCTGGTTATGAACAGTCACTCAAACTAGGGAGACAGGTGTTTGTTTTATGGTGCTACACAGACATTTCCCAGAAATGAGAATATGCTACAGTGAGCATTACCCCCCACAGGGAGCTTTTGTTTTTACCCAATTTCTTTCTGCAGGAATTTGAAATTTCAACAATGTAAACAATCCCTTTTATACATGGTCTGTATTCTTCCAACTGCAAGCCATCTGCAATATAATTCGACTGCCACTTCCACTCTCTTACTGTCATTTGAGTGATAAGTCGTAACCACCAGGGTATATATTTTCATCTCAGCCAGTGAAATTACTGTAGACTTTGTGATTAGTAGAGGCAAAACTAGGTTGTGGAAACATACTGCAACTGAACAAAAACATTAATTAAGCCCAGTTTTTTAATATAGGGTAGAAAATAATACCAGTAGGAGGAAGCATAACCCAACAGACAGGGCTGGTAAACCTTGTAATTTCAGTGCTGTCTGTGACTCTACATCCCCAGAAATGAAAAACTTATGTTCTCTGTGTCGATTTCCTCGTTAATTAGATGAGAAAAACTATACTTAGCTTTCCAACACAGATGCTGTTAACAGCTCCATAAAGGATACAAATGATGCATAGTCTAGGGAAGAAAAATTATTCAGAAGAGGGAAATTTATCACTTAACTTGGGGGGCGTGGGAGAAAAGGAAAGAAAACAAATAAAAGAAATAAGCCTTTGTGGGAGGAGAGCCTGCCTCATCTCCTGCTGCAGAAAGAAGCGAGAAGGAATAAACCACATATGCCCCTGGGAGCTCTGGAGGTCTTGCAGGGAGACCCTCTGGAGGGCTGCGCCAGGACAGCACCCGCTACTGTTTCAAACCATCTTGTATGTCAATCAGCATTGCAAACTGGGGGCGGGGGGTGAGCATGCACAAGTCACACAATGTCATGCAAGTAGATGTCTCTCTACCTCCTGGGATCATGAGGGACAGAGCACTGGCAGAAAGGGACTTTGTGACTTTCCCCGAGATTTTCTTTTTCTCTGTGCTTTCTAATCGCTGACGAGCCATGTGAGAAGTGGGTTCACTGGAGGGCTTTGAGGAATTATCTGTACTGTCCACACACTCGCTTCGTCCATTTATCTGATCCAAGTGCTCTGAAAAACTGCCAACTGTACAAAGAAGAAGGGATAAACATGTTCAGGAAAATCTGGGATAGGAGAGGTGGGGAGAGGGGGAGAGAGAGAGAGAGAGAGAGAAGGAAGGACAAACGCTGGGAAACAGACGCCCATGTGGTTCATGAGTCCATGTGGTGTCAGGCAAACATGAAAATCATGTGACCGGTTTGAGAAAAGTGGCGCGGAGGAGGAAGAATGAAAGAGGTTTCCGTTCAGGTTTCGTTCCACTTGTACACAAGTCCACTAACTCTCAATTGACTCCATTTAACTAGGAGATTACTTTTTAGAATCTGTCTCTTACAACCCTAGTAGAGACAACTCTTCCCGCCGACCCCACCACGAAAGGCCATGAACCAAACATCAGCTCATGAACCGCACAACGCCCACCGTATGGTATGATCATCCTATGACACAAATGATCATCGTTAGCAGTGCTGTTAATATTGGTTTCTGCTGTGTGGACATCATTTAGTCACTTCGTGGACATTTATGCCCACGTCACCTCCTACCATCTTTCTAGGCCACACCTCACACTTAGGCTCAGGTTTGTAACTTACGGAAAAGTGCCTGAAGTGTCGCCTTTGACTTCCCACACCTGCTTTCACTCTGAGCTCCTTGTAAATTTCACAGGACAAGACAAAGGGTACGCTTCACTATGGCACCCAATGGTTCCCTACATCTTCTTGCCTTTAGACTAGACAGTGCCAAATGCTGATCTGCCCTGAAGTTACTGGAAGTGAAAAGATCTGTCCCCCTCTAAGCCAGCCATCACACCTTCTTTATTTTTAATTTTATTAATCCTCAGTATACACTGGAGAGTTTTGTTGTTTTTTTTTAAGTTAAAAAATTAGGACTTCCCCTCAGCAGAGGAACATAAGAGAACATGTAACCACGTAGAAGGATGCAGAAATGGAAAATCACCGATACCAGTCTGGTAATTGCACACGCCCAGAGTAAAGAAAGTTCTTTACTCTTGTCAGAAGTGACATGTTGAAAAAAGTCAAGTGACCATCCTTTTTGGTTTCTCCTATTCTTTCTTTCACAGGCTACCAGTTTTCGGGTTTTTTTTTTTTCTTTCTTTTTTTAATCACTGATAATACATCTTTGTCCAGAAAAAAACAATGCTTACCTTCTTTTTCCTTCTAAATGCTATATTATAAGGCCCCTGTGCTTTAAAAATCATCAACACTATCACCAAATTAAGATACACAATCCACACAGAGAATTTAATACCATTATAAATGATCCTTTGAAAGACCAACCAGCACATTTTAAAGTGCTGACCATGACATTCTTTGCCTAGAGAAGAGGCTTAATCAGACTTAACTAACATTTCTGTTACAGTGCTATATACACATCACTCGATTGCACGGCAGGTTTGGTCCTAGTTCACAGAGGTGGCACAGACCCACAGATGGGGTCCAAGCTAAGGGAAGCCTGGGACTTGGGACAGTGGGCTTGGGCACAGCACAGCTCATGGCCACCTACTGTACTGTAGGTACAGGGTAAGATTCACAAACTTCCACGTGACACCCATCTGACCTCCTAAGGAAGACGATCTTAAGGCAAATATCAACAACCTTTCTACTCTATATGCCAAACTCAGTCCCACATAACAGCGTATCTATTCTATTCACTCTAAACGAAGAAATGAACTGCTGAGGGACTCGACAAAAACTGCTTCACAAATCAAAAAAATCTTATCTCAAAAAACGTTTAGTTTACTTTGGGGTAAGTTACACACTCCCTTCTCCTTTCTAATTTGGCTTGGATGGGATCACTGACAAGCATAAACTGAAAAGCTGAATCTCTTCACAAGGAATAACTTGTTGGATGCATTCAAGCACTACACCTAAAACTTCAAGACTTACTTTTCACTGATTCAAATACATTGTAGTCATGAAAAAAGAAACAGGTATAAAGCTGCACTTCCCTAAATGCCAGAGTGTGAATATTCAATGTTCTCTTTTATCATCCCTCCCTCTTGCCTCCGCCATTTCATCCCACCATCTCATTTCATAGCACTGTATATAAACGTGTGTTTCTTTTCTGCCAGTGGTAGATAATGTCACCTTAATGTTCTATAAATGTCAAGGATCCTTTCTTTTTGATGGTGGAGCAATATAAAAATCAACAAATTTAATTTTACTACAGTCACGGTTTTCAGATTCCCTAATTACCCTTGGCTGTGAGTAAATCAGCTCATCTCTCTATTCTGTACGGCCCCCAAGGTCTTTGATTATTTTTAATTTTTAGTGTGTGTATGGGGGAGACAGAGAGAAAGGTGGTTTGAATCTATTAATCATAATGCATAGCAGGATACAGACAGATTGTTTTTTTAATTGTGAAAGTAATCAATCAAATGCTTAGACACCATTCCCCTCCCTTTACCTCCTACCTTTCTGATAGTGAGTAGGCAGAAGAGACCAAGAGATCATAAACAATTCATCATATTAAGAATAAATGTGAAGTAGAGGTAACTCTATTCAGAGTAAATAATAACTAAGAAACTGATGAGAACTTAGTAACCAGAAATATAAAACACTTGACATATCTACATTTGATCTGATTACCAAGATTAACTAAAAATGGTCAGGCATCTTAGACTACTAGCTTGTTTCTACACTACGTCTTCACTGCTGTTCTCTTGGCTCTCTGATTTAGGACAAGTGGAATTATCCTACATGGAAACAGAACTGAGGTGAAGAGACGGAAGGGAAAAACCCAATAGCATTCTTCCCCATCATCAACTGTACGCTCATGTGAAGCTACACAGGACCAGACTTTTTAGTGAGGCGGAAATAAACCCAGCCCGTAAAATTTGTAATTTTGAAATGATTCAAAACCAGATGAAAACATTACACCACGAATATTCAGTTGGTTAAAAAAATGTTCATGAAAATTCTTGGAATCACTCATGGTTATCAATATAGCATACTGGATATGGCTTAATGAAAACATTTATCATAGCAACCTTAATCCATATCCATGTTTTTATTTTTTAAGCATAAATACACATTGCTCTGTAGAAGGACATGCTGTGCATAATATTTTTATACACCGAATAATATTTGAAATGCACTTCAAGGACTTGCTCTGAGGGAAGCACAAGGCCGATCATCTAATGAGGACACCTCCGTGATTAAAGGCCCCAAGTATCCATGATACAGTAAGCATTTTAAAAACCTGTGGAGATACTGCTCCTGGTGTCAGGAAGCTTTACTTCACATAAAAGTGACACCATAAAGCGCCCCCTATAGGAAAGGCCCAAGCCCCGCTCTGTCTCACACACCCAAAGGTTTCTTAGGGTTATTTGCGTCAGTTATCCAGAGGCTGGGAAGGCAGCTTGTGTGCAGTGGAGTTGTTTCATAGGCGCACGAGACACTGATTTGAACTGTGTCGGTATTCCTGACTCCCCTCTCCCCGCTCCATCCGTGAACCTCACAGAATAAGCATCTTTTTTTTTTTCCCCCCCCTTAAAGAAACTTTATATCCAAGTTACTTTTGAAGTAAAACACTTCAAAAGTATAGATCGAGGTATGAGGTATCTTTTTTTACCATCACATATACAGGATGTTTGCCCACCTAATTTCTTGCTTGTCTTTTTTCTTATACGTCCCTGAGATTCTCATCAGCCTCTGTTTCTAGCCAGCTATGCAAACAGAATAAGCATCTTGCTGCACTGAGGGTCTCACGTGCAGACTGCTTGGTTATTGGGTATAAGTGGTCCCATGACAAAACCCAACTCCTCCAAAGAAACAACCACCCGTCTCAACAGCAGAAGGAAAACTGGCTTACATGGTACCTTAATGGGTGGTGATTTACGACATTGTTGAGGGTAAGTTTGACCATTTGACTATTTAATAGGGTTGCTTACTTGTAACTTTGAGTTAGATGCAACTCCACAAGGCACGCCTTTGTACCCACAACAGAGAACATGCCCCCTTACTGTGATCTGACAGCCGTCAAAGGACACCACTGAAACCCAGCAGAGGATGTGAAGGCTCCAGGTGAAGCAAGAAGGATCTGCTATACAGCCATGCACTAAGGAGGGGTCTGAGACATCTGATCTCAGTTCTGAGGAGCCCACCGCCCAAGCTCAAAGAGTGGGGCCATGGAGAGAGTCTAGTGGCACAAAATGCCCATCATCGCTGCCTGGGACTCCGAGTACCAGCAGTCGCTTCTCAATGTGGTGGGTGATGCCTGGACGGCAGGGCCGCGCCCAGGGCCTTACCTGACAAGGTGGAGCTGCTGATGGTGCTGGCCGGAGTGCTGACCTCGGGCTCCTCCTGAGCACTCTCTGCAGGGGGTGGGGCTGGCTTTTCCCGCTGCTCATGCAGCTCTCTGGGGTGGGGGGCAGCCTCATCTTGTTCTGCCTCTGCTGAAATAGCCAGTTTGGGAAGCAGGCCAGAACCGACTTTATGTCTGTTGCTTTCAGTATCCGAAGAGTTGGATGTGGATAACTGTTGCCTTCATTAAAAACAAAAACAAAGTCATGCATCTATACATGCTATGAAACTGTGTTCAAGGTGGATTTTGGAAGAAACCACGTAAAAATGGAACTGAGGTAGCCTAACCAAGACATGTCGAGGGCAGTGATTCTTACAGTGTGGTGCCCAGAATCAGCATCCCAGGGAACCTGTTAGAAATGCACATTCTCAGCCCCTATCCCAGATCTCCTGGGTCAGCAATCTGCTTGTACAGGCCCTCCAGCAGATTCGGATGCACACACATGTTTAAGAGCCACTGTCCTAGTAGCTGCTGTTCATGATATTTGTTAACAAGAATTTCACATACATTTCAGAATACTCTGAACTCCAGCTTAATGTTTCCGTGGATGGCAAAGTTGTGCTTTTGGTTTTGTCCCCAGGGTCTTCCTTCTCTTCTCCTGGATTCTGAGTACCTCGATCTATACTGCTGAAAACCTGCAAGACAAATAGTCAGTGCTTATTAATACCTCCTTGAAAGGGATTGTCAGAATAAAAAAACAAACAAATCCTGGCAGAACAACCTGAGGCTATGACTGAAGTTTGAATTGGGACTGTGTATTCAAAAGGTACTTTCCAATGCTGTTTACTTGAGTCCTGAGGTGAGTGGTCAATGTACAATCTTTTCCTTTTGGAGTGGGGAGCTATGAATTCATCACCCTCTCACCGTATCTCACTACGGACTTTGTATCTGCAAACAAAATCCATAGATGCGCTGCGGTTTCTAGGCCTGGGATCGATGCACATGTTAGATTACTTGTTAACCATGAAGTCAATCAGAAAAAGAAAATCACAGAGAAAAAGATTTAATGGCCCCCAGTCAGGGGCGGGAAGGAGAGAAATGAATTGGAATTGAGAGCGAAGAGAAGAATAAATTACCTGTTTCAAAACATGTTGGGGGGAGATGCAGTGCGTTAGGAGTCAGAGGTACTTGTTTGGCTTATAAATCTCACATACAGACAGGCAGTTTCATATGTTGGTACCAGGATTTCTGAAGGGGATCATAGCTTAGGCAAAGTGAGATCTCTGCTGTACCACAGGGAAGATGGAAGCTAAAATAGGGAGCTGAGAGCCCAGTCCAGGAAGTGCTCACTACTGCCCAACCCAGCCACTTGCTGCTCTCATGGGAATGGACCTTAGACCTCCTATAATCTCCTGGGATTTGGAGGAAGGTGGCTAAAGAACAGGAGACAGTGGGCAGGGAACAGTTTAGGGGCTGGCTTTGATGGGCCAGAGAACAAGTACTGGGAAAGCCCACACTCTGTGTTATCAAAGCTTCTGTCCCGGCTCTGGGCCAGACCTGCACCTCCCCTCCAGGGAAATCCCTACCTCTCCATGTCCTTCCTATAAATGGGGAGGGCAGTGCCGGCCAATTTGCAGATGCACCCTGGGCAGTGACTCAGAAAAAGATACGGAACACTTTAAAATCACTCAGTGCTATAGAAAAGCTACACAATAATCATGCAAGATGCCATGGCAACAGAAAATACATCGCTACTGAAAATAGCAAAAGGAAGGTAGGATGCCCTCGAGGTTCATTTCTATCTTCCTAGGGCCCTGCCCCCATCTCAGGACTATCAGGTGTGTCTTCGTTTTGTTTGTCTTTTAAATCTTACCACTACCAGTGAAAAAGCATCTTTTTCTCCAATACGGATTTTATCTTCTACCATTTCCAAAATTCTAGCTTGGCTTCCTACTGCCCCTTTAATATAATAACTTACACTTTCTATCATCGGTTAAGAGACTTTCTCATTCCGCAATCAACTGTCCCTAAGTGTCTGGGCTTATGTCAAGGACCAAGCTTTCTCCTTTGTGTTGTATTCCATGGGATACTAGAAGAGGGCTCTGCACACAATGAGCTCAACGATCTTCACTATAAGATGAAAGAAATGGAATGATGCCTCCAAGGCCCGGCAGCACTGAGCTAGACCAGGGTCAGCATGTAAATGGTATCAGGTACTCCAATAATGACTATGAATGCAAGTCTCTGCCTCCAAGAAAAAAGATACTCAGCTTTGGATCATGAAACAGAGAAATATACCCCTGCAGGGCGGTAGGGACTCTGCATTATCAAGATGGTGGGGTCATTACCCATCCCCCTCAAAAAATCTCAAGCCCCAAAACACTGCATGGGGTTTTTACAATTCTGTGCAGCTGTGTAAGGCACCAACTATCTGACCAGTAGGAGATTCTCTTAGAGACCTTCTATGTTTATGCCATATTTTACTTACTTTAGAAAACCTATGTGAACATGAGGAAAACTGCCTTATTTCCACATTAAAGTCTTCGTCATTTGTGTCGTCTTCTTCCTCAGTCTCCATATGATGGTACTTCTCTGACCGCGCTGCAGGGAAATGTTTGGAAACAGTTTCGATTATTCAGATTTTCAGCTTTTAATTTAGATACTTTAATTATGAGTTTTTATATCAAAGCAGCACTATGTTTCAGAACCCATGCGTTCAAGACTGGAAGGTACTACCAAAAGTAGAGCTGATTTTCTACAAAGTAAAGGCCAAATAATGTTTTATGTCAGATAATGCACGTACTATCAAAATAACTTGTGTCATCTTCGGATTCCAGTTGGGGAATGAATTCTGCCTTCTGTCTCAGCAAACTGTTCCAGTCTAAGAAACGGAAGAATCGATGCTGTTTGACTTCATACGCACCACCTTGGGGTAGGGAGTGGAGGGGAAGGACAGAGGGAAACGTGTTAAATGATCCTCCCAGCAAAGGTAAGAATAAGTTTCAAAGAACAACCAAAAGAAAAAGAAAAACAAAGAAACGTTCTATCAAGAGAGAACCAAAGACGTCAGAGAAATCTTTTTCACTCTACAACCAAAACCTCCAAAAATCCTTCCATAATTTATCAGCAGGAGATTTGATTTTGCTAACAGCAGTTGCTACGGCACAGTTTTCCTTTGTTAATTCTTCCATGATTTCCTCTATTTTTCAAAGGTTAATGCGGCCACTTAAAATCCCATTGTGATGGACCTGGGGACGTGGACACACACTGGCCCAAAGCAGATTGCTCATTACAAACCCCCCAAAAACCTAAGAAGGTGCAAAATGTGTTCACAGCAATATTCCCTCTGGAGGTAAGGTTTTAATAAAGATGAATTTTCCCTAAATGGTATACAACGGTTAACATTTGATTTTATTGGATTGCTCATTAACATTGGTAGGAATTATATTCTGCGGATTACAGATTCTTAAGTAAGAATATTACTCAGCCATAATAAGAAATGAAATTGAGTTACTTGTAGTGAGGTGGATGGACCTAGAGACTGTCATACGGAGTGAAGTAAGTCAGAAAGAGAAAAACAAATACCGTATGCTAACACATATATATGGAATCTAAAAAAAAAAAAAAAAATGGTTCTGAAGAACCTAGGGGCAGGACAGGAATAAAGACGCAGACGTAAAGAATGGACTGGAGGACACGGGGAGGGGGAAGGGTAAGCTGGGACGAAGTGGGAGAGTAGCACTGACATATATACACTACCAAATGTAAAATAGATAGCTAGTGGGAAGCAGCCGCATAGCACAGGGAGATCAGCTCGGTGCTTTTGTCCACCTAGAGGGGTGGGATAGGGAGGGTGGGAGGGAGACACAAGAGGGAGGAGATATGGGGATATGTGTATATGTAGAGCTGACTCACTTTGTTATACAGCAGAAACTAACACACCATTGTAAAGCAATTATACTCCAATAAAGATGTTAAAAATTTTAAATAAATTAAAGAAAGGAGAAAAAGAAAAAAGAAACTGGCAAACCTGTTTGATAGATTTATAACGCATGTGATGAACATCGGTCACAACCCCTAAGTTTTAGGCTTCTTTTTGCCAAGTTAGCATTACAGCACAGTTCAGTGAAACAATATTTTTAATTCAGTTCATGATTTTAAAGAGAGATTTTCAAGGGCAGGCCCCATCAAAATATTACACTATCCCCCATGTAAAGAGAAGAAGGTACACATTTTATTAAATCCCAGCATGAAAATCAGACCCCCGCCCTGCCACCAACATGCACACTATTGATGGGGGAGATAAGGAAGAATCAATCTCCAAACAATTCCAGAAAGAGAGATTTCTTGCAAGACTAGTGCCAGGGTCTAATCAGCCTCCCTACCAGGAGATGCCCCTCAATGTGTGGTGCAAATGCCTCTTTAATACAGCTGTCACTCATGCTTCTCGCCCTGTCCTCAGTGAGGTACAAAAGGAATAGGATGAGAAATTGAATCTGAATGAAAAATGGGCTTGGATCTTGGGGCTGGGGAACTGTCTGTAAGGTTCAAAGACGTGGCTCTGTCCCCACTGGGCCCCTTGAGCATAAGGGGCAGGCTGGCTAGAGCTCTAAACCCAGCCAGGGGAAACCAGTGTTCTGAAGGCAATGGAACAGAGAGAAAAAAACAAAGTGGAAAAATCACCCCCCAAAAGGGAGAATGGGTTCTTTACAAAGCATTTGATTAGAATCTTCATACAGAATTCCAGCCAGGCTTTTTCCGTGTTTATAGCACAATACTCAAGTCTGATGTTGATCCCAACAGCAATAGCATTAGCAGCTGTGATTTGAGGGACAACTTTGACTAGTATTACACTAGATGCTAGAGGAAATTGCTTCTTTTAATTAAACCACTGAAAGTAACCCCACGAAGTAGGTATTGTCAACTCCGTTTTTGGATGGGGAAAGTAAATAAGCAGTAAAGCAGACTGGACCAAGATTACTAGGTGAGTAAGGGTTAGAGGGGCTGAGCTGAGGTCTGTCTAAAAACACCCAGGTCCATCCTCAGTGCCACAGCGCCACAGGCCATATAAGGGGGAGGCATGTTTCAGTTTGGATTCTACCCTGCCATCTTTCTCGCGTCAGCTTACAAATGGATTCTCGACTGCCGATCCTGGGGAACACAGCCAAACAGCCAATTCCCCAGCACCTCTGCCCAGTCCAACCCCAGTCTCCACGTATCCTGGTTCTCTTCTATCCCAATCAACATCCTCAAACACAGCTGTCAGGGACATTTTCTTCCAGTGATCTTTTCCTGGAGAAGTTAAAAGGGCTTAAATATTTATCTATCCAACTCCCCTCACTGTGCCAGTGACACTGAGGTCCAAAGAGTCAAGCCCTACTTAGTGGCCCACCATGCACTATCCAGCGATGACTATGACTTCAGCTGCCACAGCAAAGGACAGCTCTGACACTCCCAGGTCATTCAACTTTACCCAGAAAAGCATAGTTCTCTAGACCCAAAGGCTCGAAAGACACTTCCAGACAATATCCGGAGTTTTTGCTCCCCGACCTGCTAACCTTTGGGACCCACCCACGTCGGTGAGAGCATTCGCTTCCTCTTTGTGATGAGTGCCAAATGGGTCCTCCCCAAGGAGCCCCAGCCCACTGCCGACCCAGTGCACAGTTATCACCCTTTGGCCTTTGTGCCCCACTGAGAAAGAGTTGCTTCTCACTGGGTCATGTTTCTCATGCACTTTTGGAGAGACGGGGAGCAAAAGAATGAAATGGACACACTGGGGAAAAATTAACTCTGGGCTAAACCGTTGGTATGATATAGATGATGGCTTTACGAGCCAAATACAAATCATCAGACACAGGAACTCATGCAAATGTCAGCTGTCACTGTAAGAATTCACCAGGAAGGGAAGGGAAAGTGACTATTTCTTGAGCTCCTATTATGCACTAGGTTAATGTACCAGATACCTTCATAAACATGCCTGCACTCAATCCTCACAATAACCCCTCGAGGTGTGTAACATGCCCATTTCCATAGATTATAGATTAGGAAACTGAGACTCTGGGCAATAAAGAAATGACTCACAACCTCCCAGCTGGCTCATGGGTGGGAGTCAGTCACATCTGAGCAGCTCTCAAGTCCAGTGAACCTGGCTGCCACTCAACACTCTGCAAGTTCAACAGTCGAGTTCAAGTACGACAAGGTCCCAAATTGCAAGTTATGCTTTGGCACTAATGTTCTCCTTTGAGTTTTCCTCTCCCTTCATAGAAGCTTCTTAAACATCCATTATGTTCTTCACACTCCTTTTCTCAGTCTCTCTAGTCTCTCGGGCAAATGCACACTTGCACATTTTCACGGTGCATTATTTTGCGGGCTAAATATGCATTAAATCCAAAATGCTGTCATTGGAAGCAGCATGGCAAGCCTCATTCTCCGGGCCCTACTGGGACCTGTCACGTTGGACCTGCCTGTTTGACAAGCTCTCCTTGACAATGCTAAGAGCTTGGGCAGGGTCTTTTAAATGTCTCTTTTGAGCTTCTGCTAGAAGATTTGTTTCTCAATCTGTCAAACCCTGAAAAGACCAAAAGCAGCGGTCAAGCAGAAAATGTGCAGAGGTAACTTGCAGCGTATAATATATAAACATGGATGTACTGACCACCATCATAGCCCTGTCTTGTTAAGTAAAGCCGAATCAAGTGTCCACATATTCTTAAAGAGGACGGAAATGGGCAGAATACTAAGGAGGAAAACTCTCCAAAGTGACACACGAACACTGAAGGGAACTCTTTAGGGGGTGTGCTGATTCCAATATATTTTTAGCCCTACCTTAGGACAACACTCCCCTGGGACAGCTGATTAGGATATACAAATAGATACTTGTATTGCTGTAGGACAATCTTAAAATGCCACTGTTTCTCATATTTGGCTCAAGTGAGTAAAATCACCCCTCAAAACTCTGCCCCACACAGAGCCTTGACACCCATTCCTGGACAGCTACTCTTACCGCTTGAACTATAAAGCAAATCTAACTGCAGGTCACAGATGGTGGGAAATAACCAGTTTGCTAGTCACTTCAGACAAAAGGAAAACCAAATAGGGCGACAAGAAATATAAAGGATTCTGTTCAAAGAGTTCAGTCAGCCCAAAAGTAGGGGCACCACCACAATTTCTAAATCTCATATGCCCAAAGGGGAAAGCAAGAGATTATATACACAGAAAAATAAAAATGATAATACCGCAGCAGTGTCACATCTGGTCCTAAGAGCCAGAGTCGATGATCTTTTATCCGCACAAAAATCCTGGGATATAGTGCTACTATCAGCTCCATTTTATAGATGAGGAGGTAAGGCACACAAGGGAAAAACAACCTGCTCACGGTCACACAGCTGAGATTTAAACTCAGGCAATCTGACTCTGGAGTTTATCCCTTTAAGTCCCATCATATTGCCTTTCCTAGTTAAAGGCCCACTCGTCCACTGAAAAAGGCAAAAAACACATGGTATTCCAGTATGAAACTCAAAGCAGTTTTGCCAACTGAGTCCTGATTTTAAAACTTCTTGGGAATTCCCTAGCGGTCCAGTGGTTAGGATATGAGCTTTCACTGTTGTGGACCCGGGTCCGATCCCTCATTGGGGAACTAACAGACCACAAACTGCATGGCACGGCCAAAAAAAAAAAAAAAACAAACCCCAAACTTCTTGGATTCTCTAATGCAGGGTCTTCAAGAGTTTTCTGTCGAGCCAGAAAGTAAATGTTTTAGGCCTTGTGGGCCATGCAGTTGTTCATGACTATTCCACTCTGCCAGAGTAGCATGAAGGCAGCCATAGACAGTATGTGACTGAACAGCATCGCTGTGTTTCAATAAAACTTTATTTACAAAATAAAGGTTGGGCCTAGGGGTTTTAATGCATCATCATAGCCTCTAGGTAGCACAGCATTCCATACTTAAGCAAGAACTGAGCTCTCCAACTGGGGAAGCTGTGAGCAAAAGTGGAGAACAATATAAGATACATATTTGAAGCTGTTGCAAATGATTTTGGCCTTGGGAAAACTGAGTGAGAGAATGATCTCGTCAGCATTTTCTGACCTTTCTAGAAAAACGAGGTAGAATGAAACAGCTCACAGTAAACAACCCATCAAGTCAACAATTTTCACTGATGAAAATTTTTATCGATACAGTGTACGTGTGTGGTGTGTGTTGTATGTGTGTGTGCATGCGTGTATGTTATATGTGTTTATTATTTAGTCTCATCTAGATAAATTCACATACTGGGGTTGGCTAGAACTCTGTATTGGGATCTCTAAGTCCGTCTATTCAGAATATAAGGAAGAAAAGGAAAAAGAGCTGGCACAAACAAAAAACTGGTAGCAGAACAGTCCGGAAAAATAATCAGCAAGAAATAAATCTACTATCTCCTTAATCTTGAAAGTCAATGTTTTTTTAATCCTCTTTCTTGGGCCATGGTGCTGATCAACCCCAGGCACTCATTTCCAATAATTAGTTCAAGTACTGATAACCTGTTTCAAAGCCTGCAGATAGTAACTGCTGGGTCAGATCCTTCTAGGAATATATATATTTTACAACCCCAAACAAACAAACAAAAAAACCTCCACATCCCTAATCCTCTGTTTCAAATTGTTAAGACCCATGCTTTTCAGGACAGAAGAGTTACATGTGCCCTCGAGGTTTTCTTCCAGAGACATTTTATTTACTGAAACAAATTAAGAATAATTTCTGCTTTGCAAAAAAGAAGAAAAACAACAACAAAAAAAGACAGACAACAGCCACCAACCCTCTTAGCGTACATACTACTCTGAATCAGGCAAAAAAAATCCAAAATATTATTGTTATAACATATTGTAGTCATATTCTACATCAACCAACAGATGTTTCCTATGAAAAAACAAAACAAAACAAAAACACAAACCTCTGAGTGCTCCACATTGACATTATTTCCTGCGTATCAGCAAAATTAAAACGTATGTGCTCTAACCTGTTCCCAGTCTCTCCAGGGGATTCTGCCTGAGAAGCAAGGTAATCAGATCCTGGGCATCAGGTGGTGGCGCCTCATCCTTTTCAGGCCAGTTGATCTCATCTAAAAGGAAGAAAAGTAGTTTACGACTTCACTGCTGAAAGGCTGGTCCACATCCCAACAGCGTGGACATCACCCGGGAGTTTGTTAGAAATGCAGTATTTCAGGCCCCACCCCAGACCTGCTGACTCAGAATCTGCATTTTTAACAAGACCTTCAGTTGATTCCTAGGCCCAGTCAAGTCTGAGAAGCACTGTTGCACAAGATATGAATAGCACAGCTGTCAACAAGGCAGGGAGAGAACACTTCAATGAGCAGTACCCCTCATCTGCCTTTTTGATTCACTTTTCTTTGGTAGAACTGGGTCACTACTAATTGGTCCTCTAGTTATTAAGAGGGCTCAATATAGCGGAAACTCTGAACTTCTGTGTTTTAGGCGATCGCTCATCCAGGGATCGTGGGGAGTCAGGGTTTCTCTTCTACCATCATCCTCAACTGAGAACCTGGCCACAGCCCCAGGGTTCTTCAGCTCCAAGAAGCAAAAAATAATTTTGTAAAAATAACCATTTCCAGAGACAAAGGAAAGGTCAAAATGCTAAGACTGAAGAAGAAGGAAAAAGAAGAAAAAAAAAACGCCAAGGAACTGTAGTAATGGAAGTACTTAAAATCTGTCATAAATATTAGAATACGTTCTACATTCTAAAGGAGTTTGCCTGAAGATAGGTGTGCATGCTTGTGTGCACGGGAATGCGATAAAGACATGAGTTATTTCTGCACGTGCTTTGCCTCTAGCTTCCTCTGCTGCAGTTTAAATCTGATTTGGAAAATAGAACATGAATATGCATCTGAGCCATAAGGCATCGACAGAACAAAGCCAGCATTTGCTGCTTGTGTTAATTAAACAGTTGATTCCTTTTGCCATTCATCCTTGGTATATCAGAAAACAGCCTAGTTATAAATCCATAAAGAGCTCAGATATTGTATAAAAGGGTTATACACTGCAGGCAACTCACAAATCTACTTTGTTAAAGTTTACAAATATGCCTGGCTCGCAAAGTCAATGATGGAAAATAATGCTGTGATTAAGAGGCTCCTCATACCAAAAGGAACTGTCCCCCTATTTCCACTGTTGGACACTCTAAGCACAGTCCAGAATGGACCAGAGAGGTAGGTGATGAAGATGTGAGTGATGACTGACGAACTTTGAGGAAGAGAGGCCTTTTTGATCTCTGCTCCAGGGAAATTTATAAAAACAGCAGGTAGGGTAGTAATAAAGCCTATTTAATTATCATTTAGTTTTGCCACAAGCCACACAACAATAGTTAGGGTCAGCTTGCAGGTTAAGATCTAAAGGTTACTGAATTTAAATGAAAGATGAACAGCTGTTAAGAAATAACATTACACCATAACAACTACCAATGAAATCATTAACAATCTGTGGATTAAATTTGCTTCCTCCCCATTCTCATTATTTATTATTTGGTAGACATTTGTTTTAGGGTTTATTACATTTTTGTTAATTTCTTCACTGTGCCAATAGCCATTTTTCCCATTTGTGTAAATGTTACCCAAGTTAACCTTTTCTTCCCTGGTGCAACTTTCCTAAAGGAAGACTGGACAGCAGTGAAATCACTTGCAAATCCCACACCAATTTCTTTTGCAGAAAAAGTACACCATAAAAATTGGTCACATTGCTAGTACATTTCCAAATTCCATGTTAACAAAACTTCCTCAGATCAATTCCCAACACAAATTGCTCTCTTGAGATTCTGAAAGTCAGTTATGTGCTATAATGAGTGAGTTCTTTTAATTTGTTGGCTAAACCCTTTGATAAAGGTTAACTTTTTAGTAAAAACAGTGATACTCCCCAGAATTACATTCAATAGCTGCTTCCCAACAGCGGCTTAGAGATAACTGCTGACAATATTTACCACTGATGACTTGTCCAAATAGCTCTTCTGGAGTGTCCCCAAAGAATGGCACGCATCCAACCAGAAATTCATAGAGGATAATCCCCATGGCCCACCAGTCTACCGGCTTCCCATAGCCCTGCCTCAGAATCACTTCTGGTGCAATGTATTCAGGTGTGCCACAGACCTAAAAGATGATTGCAATATTAGAATAATTAGAATATTAGACATGAATTAAAATGAGCAAGATGGCTAAATATCAATTATTTTGCCTAGAGTGCACCTGCTCAACCACATGGAACCACATGGACAAAGAATTTAAGAAGAGTGATTCTAAGTCGGTATCTATCATACCAAAAGCAATGAATTACTTAAAATACCAAGAAAAAGCAAAGTTTAAAATGCTGCTGTAATGTGAAACTGTGTGTAATGTCTAATTTCAAATTTGAGTAGTTTTACTTACTTTACAAAAACATTTGTAATCCTTGGATTTAAAATAATACTGCATTTTTTCGTCTGTCACTATCAGAGAGAGTTTTAGTATTTATATGACTGAAATATATTCACATCCTGGTTACTTCATAAAAGCCTGACAGTTGAGATGTGTTCACCTTAAGTAACTGTACAATGAACAGATTGTGGGCACATGGTAATGAGGCATGCTTAAAGGGAAATGGGCCATGGCTCGGAGTTTGGCACCTGTGATTGTACAACGCATCATGAGTTTCATGAGGACTCTACTGAGACTCCCGAATTCCTTACGAAAACAGTTTTTCCATTTGTCTCTCTCACACTCTCACTTGTGTACAGTTAGATCGTTTGTCTTACTAATAGACCATAATGTCGGGGGAGGAATATGGAGGGACAGACATCTCAAAGAGGCCCAGGGAGAAAGAGGCCCAGAAGCAATTTGTGCTTTATTAAACGTAAGGCTTATATAGACATCTAAAGCCCCAGCACTAATGTCAAGATGGCCTAGGCGAGCTGATTCTGAATTCCACTGTCAACACTGCACTTTGTATTTCTCTCTGGAACCAAACAGCACGCAAGCTTACCTGTTTGTCCAAGAACTCTCGAGCATCCTTCTCAATATGACCCTCATAAAGATTGGTAGTCATGCTCATTAGCCCCACCTTGGATAATCCAAAATCTGTCAGCTTTATGTGCCCCATGGAGGTGACCAACAAACTGTGAAACAGAAGGACATATATCACAACACTCACTTTGAAGCACATTTTTTGTTTTTACTTTTCTCCCTCCCACTGTGAATTGATAAGACTATGTAATATATAGTATTATATAGTATATCACAAAACCCAGCCTGCAAAGAGATGAGGTCACACAAAGATGTTAAATATGTGTATCTGGCGGCTGAGAGTCATCCACAAGGGAAGGCCAGAGCCAGGGCTCAGCCCATCTTCCTTGGAGCAGTCACATACAAGTCACATACAAACTTGGGAATTGATCAAGTTTACAACTCGAAGCTCTCAGAAAAATTCAAGTATGGAACTCTGACCCCTTTCCATTTCCAGAATAAGAAAAGAGCTGAGACAGGGCTACTGATAATCCCACGTCACACATCAGTAACTAACATAAGCAACCAATCTGTGATTCAAATGACACAAAAGATAAAGAACTTGGAAGAAAAATGTAGCACTGTTTCAGATTTCAACTTCTGGCTCGAACTTAAGGGTCTACTCACTAAGCACAAGACCTACATGTCTTGTACATGCAAAGAATTCACATTTGAAAGCTTTAAGAATTTACAGTTAATTTTTTTTCATTTTAAGAGGCGAAGAAAATTTTAATTATTTAAAAAATTGAAGGAGTAGAGGAGTTAAAAAAAAATAAAGCTATTGGAAGGATACATGCCAAAATTCTAAGAGCTCTCTTCGTTTGGGAATGTTGTGAATGAAGTTTTTTCTTTTTGTACTTCCCAAATTTTCTGTAATGAGCATAAGTTAATTTTATAAAATTCTGGCACACTTAAAAGCTTTACATATTAATAAGAAATACTTCTAGAGGTGTCTCAGATTAGTGGAGAAAGCATGGAACATTTAATAAATGGTGTCAAGATGAATACCTAGTCATTTGGGGAAAAACAGTCTATCTGTATCTCAAATCAGACACCAAAATGAACTCCACGTAGACTAAAAATTAAATAAAAAACTAAATTGTGAATAAAATAGAATAGAATATCAAGGATATCATCTTGGGGGAGAAAAAATTATCTAAGTATCATTCTAAACGCAGAAACTATCCAGAAAAACAACTCATAGCATTCTATGTACCTATTATTTACATAATAAAAAAACCTAAAAATAAATTAACTAACCCTGGCTTAATACTCTTTTTTTTGTTTGTTTGTTTCTTATAAGCTGCTATCGTAAACACCATAGCCTTTAAAAAGATTATACAAAAATCATCATGTACACTGCTAAAAAGAACTCATTTGGGAACATCATGGGAGAATTTTAAAATGTACAAAGCAGCATGAAAAGAAAACATTTTTATAGACATAAACACTTTTGTATTGTGTGGAAAAAAAAGACATATTTCATCAGTGTACATACTTGTCTGGTTTCAAATCCCTATGTACAATTCCATAATTATGTAGATATTCCAAGGCCAGGACTGTCTCAGCAAAGTACATCCTGGCCATATCAACAGGGAGAGGACCCATGTTCTTCATTAAGGTGGCACAGTCACCTCCTATAAAACACGAGAAAAAGACTTAGCAGGTATAGTATCAGCTGGGATTAAAGACCGCCAGTTTAGACTGCAGAATTTCAAAGTAGAATGGTCTCTATCCATAGACATAGTCGATCGTGTTCATAAGTGGAGACCGTGTTAAGTAATCATGTTTCTACTTATGATGTGGTGTGGAGAAAATATAGACTTTTATTTAAGAAGCGCTGCTCACGAGAGAGCAGATTTGGCCTGAATTGAAACTAAATGTTGAAGAACTGATGATGTGTTTTAGGAACAGCGTGGTGATTTAAAATAAACCATTTTAAAACATGGATTCTGGAATCGGGCTGCCTGAGTTCAAATTCCGGCTCTGACTCTTACAGGTGGGGACATCTTAGGCAAGCTGGTCTTGGTTCTTTCAGCTGTAATATCAGGATATGAATAGTGTCATCCCTTTTATTGTGAGGATTAAATGAGGTAATCTGTGTAAAGAATTCAGGATGCTGTCGACACATATTAAACGTGTGATAAACGTTAATTATTGTTGTTAAAATGACCATAACAAAAGTTAATAAAGCAAAGTACTGCTGTGGTGAAAAGAACAATGGGTGGAAATCAGGCAAGTTATGTTTTTGTCCTGTATCTACCACTAAATATCTAGTGAAACCCCTTCTTGGGTTTCAGTTCATTCATCTGCAAAATGGAAATGATACTTAACGGTTCGTTAAGTTATAAGTTTTGGGATTCTGTTCAAACAATCACAAGGGCTTAAGTTAGATGCTTTGAAAATTGTTTTGGAGACTAGGATTGACATATATACACTAATATGTATTTTTAAAAGAGATAACTAATAAGAACCTGCTGTATAAAAAAATAAATAAACTAAAATTTTTTTAAAAAAGAAAATTGTTTTGGCCCTTGCTTATCTATTCATTTTATTAGCTTTATTTATGTCAGTAAGTCATGGCTATGGAAACACTCAAAAATTTCATGTAAAATTGACGGAAATAAGATTACTTGGAACATTTAAAAGGTAGACCACAAACTTCCAAAAGAAAAAAAAGTTAGTTTTTTAAAATTAAACTATAGTTGATTTATAATATTGTGTTAGTTTCAGGTATACAGTTTCAGACTCTTTCGTTGTTTATCTATTTTATACATAGTGGTGTCTATCTGTTAATCCCATAGTCCTAATTTATACCCCCCCTTTCCCCTTTATAACCATAAGTTTGGTTTCTATGTCTGTGAATCTATTTCTCTTTTGTAAATAAGTTGATTTATATTAATTTTTTAGATTAGAAGTTAGATTTTTCTCGAATGTATCTTTCTCCTAACTCACCTTTAATTTCATACCATACAGCAAAAAGGATATATTTTTAACACTGTCCTTAAGAAGATCCATTGTAATGAGTGTTTTTATGATATGTGATAAAAATAAGCAGGAAAAATCCCATCACCTATATTCTAACTTTAATGACCAATTGAGAGGAGGTACTTAGGATGAAAAGCTATTAAAAAGGGAAAACAACCTTTTTCCAAATAGCACTAATTTTCCCTTTGTTATAGTAGAGCTGGCACTTTACAAGCAATTATGAGAAGATAATGACTGGGAATACAGCCATCTAATTGCCTGGCCTCGGTTCCTACGTGGATACAACCGTTGTATGGCACAAGTACAGAAAGCGTCAGCTGCACAAATGAGCCAGTGGTTTCTGGGTACAGGTGTCATGTCCTCTGTGTCAGAGTGACTCACCTTCGACATATTCCATGACCATGCACAAGTGGCGCCTGGTCTCAAAGGAGCAATACATGCTGACAACAAAAGGGTTTTCTGCAAAAGTCAGGATATCCCGTTCCACAAAGGCCTGCTGGATCTGGTTTCGGAGGATGAGGTTCTGTTTATTAATCTTCTTCATGGCAAACCTCTGCCGCGATTCCTTATGCCGAACAAAATAGACTGCCCTGAAAAGGAGCACAGGAGTTGGGGTTCAAAGGAAGAGGGGATGTTTCTGTGTACAGTACACCACTTTTTTTTTTTTTTTTTTTTAC